GCCATAGCGCTGCTGGGCTGCCTGGGCGATCTGTGGTGGGCCCTGGAGGCGGTGAGTGGTCCTGTGGGCAGGCGGGTGGGGGATGGGGGGCAGAGTGGGGGCGGGGCAGGGGGTGGAGCGGGGGCGGGGCCAGTTTTGGGGCACTCGGTCTCTAAAAGGTTCACCATCACTGATGTAGTGCATTCTCTTATCTTAAGATTCCAGGGATATCCAACTAATCCTAGAATCACTGATATTATTATTTCAGGAAACATACTCTTAGACTAGTTTCATACAACAATCTATAGTTTGCATTACAGTGCTTTATGAAATAAACTACGAGTGACTTCATGCAACCTGTTTAGCTAGTATTTATAAACTGCACTGTCTGGGTTCATAGAACACACTAAAACTAAACAAGCCACATTATAATTTAGTACAGTAGGTGAACGTCACCTCTGATTTTGTAGAGAACCCAATGCAAACTGTGTTCAAATGAAAGTGATTACTGTACTGTAATACCCTTTCTGTCTCTGTCATTGGCAACCATTTTAAAAAAAACTATGTTTGCTGGAAAGCATCATCAGCCTTCTAAACTAATTACCAGCTAGTAGGTCATTAGCTCATTTTTCTTGTTAAGGAATCCTGTTGTACAGGATTATCTTGACACACCCCCCCCCCTATCATTTTTTCTCTGTTCACCAGATTTCAGCAGTAAAGATTTTTCATCTAAAAACTTGGTCGGTGTTTCTGCCTTTGAAAGAGGATTTTTAAAATCATGTCCTTCGCCTCTTTTCTGCTCAATACAGAAACTTTAATACAACTTTATTATGAAAGGGATTATTATTATTATTATTTTGTTTCAGATTGAGTGAGAAAGAAAGTTGAAATTCATTTAGAAGGAACTGATAATTTGTCTCCTTCTGATGCTGGGAAACCTGATGAGTAGAAAAATTCATAGTTACCAAACCATGCCTGAATATTTGACCTCTGGGTGTTCCGACTTCATGGACTTACATGGCTTTCAGAATTTAATTAGCCATCGATTTGTATACTTTTTGAATATTCCAGAACAGTTCTTGGCTCAAAGCATCAGAATAAGTTTTAAAGGTTATATTTAAATACATACTTAAATGCAAATGAAAAACATTTTGGACAAGTGAAAAAAATGGGACGGAATGGCTTAACAGAGAATTTACAGGTAGTCCTCAACTTACAACAGTTCATTCAGTGACTGTTCAAAGTTACAACGGCACTGAAAAAAAGTGACTTATGACCATTTTTCACACTTAATGACCATTGCAGCATCCCCACGGTCATGTGATTAAAATTCAGATGCTCGGCAACTGACTTGTATTTATGACAGTTGTAATGTCCTGGGGTCACGTGATCCCCTTTTGCGGCCTTCTGACAAGCAAACTCAATGGGGAAGCCAGATTCGCTTAACAGCCATGTTACTAACTTAACAGCTGCAGCGGTTCAGTTAACAACTGTGGTGAGAAAGGTTATAAAATGGGGCAAAATTCATTTAATAAATGTCTTGCTTTAGCAACAGAAATTTTGGGCTCAATTGTGGTCATAAGTCGAGGACTACCTCTATATGGAAGTGATAGTGACAACAAACACATAGCTCTGTCAGTACCTAGTTTGTCCATTGATCTTGACAGAGTTGTCTCTGCTTCCTATAATAGGAAGTTTAAAATAAAAATAAAAATCTCCCCCGAAAAGATATCTTCCTGATTGTTTTTAAGAAAACTGCATGGATACCCAAAGACCCCTTTTCTTAAGGAACCAAGAACAGAAGCATTTTCAGTAACAAACTGAAAACTTATAGCATAGAAGAGTCCACAACACAAAGTTTCTGGTTTATTATCCAGCTTTCTTAAGACGTTCCTCATGTTCAACTGAAAACTCATATTTTAAGTTTACTGAAGCTAATCGTGCTCTCTGAGGCAGCTGAGAAAAGCGTTTTGAATATCTGCATATGACAATTGTAGTATCTGAAGACTTAAGCCACAAGAGTTGTCTTTTCTAGTTAAATTCGGTGCATCTCTATACAGTTACGCGGCCCTGTTGTGAGTGCAGGCCACCAACTTTTTCTGGAAGAGAATGAATGATACCGTCTTTTATTTGTCTTCCTGCACCTCTGTCTGTATTTTCTTGCTCCATATTTCAAATGGTATTTTCCAGCTTCTAGTAGCTTAAACTATATTTTAATTTCATCTGATGCGTTTTAGTTTCTTCTAGAAAAACTGCATTGTGTGCAGTGGTAGGAATTTTCCTTCACCCAAGTCAATAGCTGCCATCCTGCAGCACTATTAAAAAGAAAAAGTTTAAACCTTTAAATGCAAACTGTTTTTCAAAAGCATATATGTCACAAAATGAAAAGGCTATAGTGCAGTGATGGCGAACCTTTTAGAGACCAAGTGCCCCAAAACCGCCCCCCACCCCCATCCTTGCTCCGCCCTGCCTGCTGGGCCACCCACCACCACGGCCCACCACAAATCACCCAGATGGCCCAGCAGCACCATGGCGACCACGCCCTCCGCCCATGCCCTGCAGCAGCATCTGCGCATGATGGGACGCAAGGGCGGAGTCTTGTCCCCGCTGCCCAGCTACCATGTCCTTGGCTGCGCTGCTTCGCGTGGGCCGTGCTGGGGGCGACTCTCCTCGGGGGGCTGCTGGTGAGGAGGGGGCTATGGGAGGAGGTGGGGCTGGGGCGACGATGCATGTGCCCAGAGAGAGGGCTCCGAGTGCCGCCTCTGGCACACGTGCCATAGGTTCGCCACCACTGCTAGTGCAAACCTACTAGTGAAGCAGCCCAGTCTGAAAGAATTTTTTAAGCTGGTTTAATGTTTAGAGTCCAGCTAGCATTAGCACAGAATAGGAAAAGCTTAGGGGTCCAGGGTGGAAGTGCCCAATAGTTGGTTCTTTCAATCTACCCCCATAGTGCATGAATTTATAGTGTTTCGGTCAATGCAGAATTGCCAGCAGTCCCACCTAACATGGCTAGTAGTGAAAAACGCTGGGAAATGCCTTACTGGTTTGTGGGGGGGGAGCTTGTGCTTTAAAATTCAAACAATACATAGTCATCTGTATCTGATCATGAAGGAAAACCACTCAGATTTAGCACACATTCGATTTCCCAGGAAAAATTACTGCAGGTCATATTTTAAAGATGCATTTTCTAGCTATCAGTCTGCTTTGGGAATCGCTGTTACATTAATTCATTCTGGTTTTCCCCACCTATGATGCTGTACAAGATTTGCCTCCACTGATATATTTTATACATTTACAGTTGTCGACCTTGCTCTTTTCAGAAGCAGATTCTGCATGGACTGTGACAAATGCATCTTTGACTCGGTTGTTTTCATGCCTGCATATTACTGTATTTTGCTTTCTCTTTTGATGGCTAGGCTATAAAAAAACTTTTTCAGACGGAGTTTGACTGTTGATGACTACATGGACCAGTCTGTGTAATTTTCTTGGCAACAGTTCAGACAGGGTAACAAGGGGAATTGTAGTTCTTTTGGCTTGTTCTCTGGT